GTAGTGTGAAATACTAACCAATTTTTATTACTATTCCTTTTTAAACCACAATTTATTAACAGCTTGAAAAAGCTGTCTATTTAATTTTACCAAAGAGGTCTCTCCTAACCAAGGCGAGAAAAACAGAGGCATTATTTGTACTCCTGAATAATGCTATCTACCATTCCTGTGGCTGGATTATAGACAGCTACACACTGGCAACTCCAGAAACTAGAAGAGCATTTGATGTTTCTTGTGTTGATTGGTTTTCTAGGTTATTACTGTTGTTATTTGCCCCTTTCTCTCTCTTCTGAGAGCAGAAATGAAAGGCCAAGGATGAAGATCCACCTTCTATAACTGTCTCCACTGCAATGAAATTCTGTTATCCTACAATTTGGTTCTATTTTCCTCTCAAATAGACCTAACAAATATTTACCAAATAGGTGATTAAAATCAGTACACAAGTGAACAGAACAGAGAGTACAACACACACCCACACATATATGGACAACAAATTTTTGATAAAGGTGCAAAAGTAGTTCAGTAGAGAAAGGAGCTTTTGTAATAAATGATGCTGGAACAGTTGGTTACACATTTGCAAAAAAGAAAAAAAAATTAAATCCACATCTTCTACCACATACAAAAATAGATCAGATTCAAATATAAAACCTAAAAGTATAAAACTTTAAAAAAAGATAGAAGAATATCCTTGTGACCTTGGGCCAGGCAAAGGTGATACCAAAAGCATGGGAACCTAGGGGCAGGACAGGAATGCAGACGCAGACGTAGAGAATGGACTTGAGGACACGGGGAGGGGGAAGGGCAAGCTGGGATGAAGTGAGAGAGTAGCAATGACATATATACACTACCAAATGTAAAATAGATAGTGGGAAGCAGCCGTGTCACACAGGGAGATCAGCTCAGTGCTTTGTGACCACCTAGAGGGGTCGGTTAGGGAGGGTGGGAGGGAGATGCAAGAGGGAGGGGATATGGGGATACATAAATACATATAGCTGATTCACTTTGTTATACAGCAGAAAGTAACACAACATTATAAAGCAATTATACTCCGATAAAGATGTTCAAAAAAAAAGCATGGCTCATAAAATAAAAAAAGATGATATATTGGACTCTATCAAAATTACAAATTTTTGCTCTTTGAAAAACTGCGAAAGGCACTTTTTCAGTTTTTCCTGTTTTTTTGAGGATGAAAAAAAATCATGGATTGGGAGAAAATATTTGCAGAGCTTATACTTGATAAAGGACTTGTATCCAGAGTAGAAAATGAATTCTCAAAACTCAATAGTAAGACAACAACCTAATAGAAAAATGGGTAAAATATGAATAGATACTTCTACAAAGAAGATAAGTAGATGGTAAATCAGTACACAAAAAGATGTTCAACATCATTAGTCATTAGGGAAATGCAAAGTAAAACCACAATGAGATACTCTTACATACCTATTAGAATGGTTAAATTTTAAAAGACTGACCATACCAAGTGTTGGCACTCCTAGTGGGAATGCAAAATTGTACAATCACTTTGGAAAATAGCTAATTTCTTAAAAGCTAAACATACACATACCATGTGATCCAGTCATTCCACATCTAAGTATTTTTCTAAAGGAAATGAAACTATATGTCCATACAAAGACATACACAAATGAACATAGCAGCTTTATACATAATAGCCCAAAACTCAAATGTCCATCAACAAATTGTGATATATCCAAGCAATGTGTAACTACTCAGTAACACAATAGGAAAATGACTCGTTATGCATATAACGATACAGAAAAATATAAAAATAATTATGCTAAGTGAAAGAAGATAAGCAAAAAGAGGGATATATTGCATGACTCCATTTATATAACATTCTAGAAATGCAAGCCAATCTATAGAAACAGAGAGATGATCAGTGGTTGCCTAGGGACGGAGTAGGGCATGATGAAACATTTGGGGGTGATGAAAATGTTCATTATATTGACTGTGGTGATGACTTCACAGGTGTATAGATTTATCAAAACTTAGCAAATTGTACACTTTATGTACGATTATATCTATTGCACAGTTGACCCTTGAACAACTCGGGGGTTAGGGGCACCCATCCTCTGCACAGTCAAAAATCTTGTGTATAACTTTATAGCCTGCCACAGTATCCACGGTTTTGCATTCAGGGATTCAAGTAACTGCAGCTTGTGTGGTACTGTAGTATTTACTGAAAAAAAATTGTGTATAAGTGGGTCCATGCAGTTCAAACCTGTGTTGTTCAAGGGTCAACTGTACTTCAATAAAATTGTTTTAAAAAAGAATTAACTTGTTCATTTAGATAAAATCTATCTAGATGAACCAAAAAAAAAAAAAAGAACAACAAACAATAAGTCCAAAAATAAATGAATTTGCAATGCTTGGCTTCTTAAACATCTACAACAAAAGATAATGCTACAGCAGTTTTCATTGTGTATTATGTATGTGTGTTTGTGTGGCAGGGGTGGTGGGTGGGATTGTGTACATGTTCATAACAGGTAAGGTGTAAACAGATGTCCAAGAGCCATGTTCAGCTTGGAATATACCAATAGATTCTGTGTTAAGCATCATCTCATGTAGAACTATGAACATTTAACCCTCCAAAAAGAATATTATAAAATAATGGAACAGAGATCATATTACTATGCAAGTAATTTATAGATAGCCTTATTAAGAAAAATAGCATATTATATGCTTGCACACTTATAAAAATAGAAAAAATATGGCATTATACATAAATTATATTCATTATATGAACATAAAATTTATTTTCTTTTAGGGACCTGCCATTATAAAATTAAGTTAACTAACAGACCAAAAAAGCTACAAAAATAAAAGTGTGTTATGAGATACCTAAAGTATTGTATACACATCAAAAGTAGACTGTTGTTAGAAAAAGGTACCTAAAATCTATGGCTTGGGACAACAGACTTCCAATCAAAAATCAGGATAGCTCATTAATATATTATCTTTGTATGAGGTTTTTTTACAAGCTTTTTTTCTCTTTTTATTCTCCCTGTTCCATTCCAAACTTTTCTGTATCGGTGTGAATGATTAAGTATTAATTCTTGAAAAGCATCTAAACAAGCCTCCACGTAGATAATTTTAGAATGAAAGTTGTAGTTGAGTCACATTTGTCCAATATCATAAATCAGAAGAGAGCTATTTTCTAAAGGAGTCACAGTTGTCTTAAATCAAGGTCAAAATTATTTTACCCTTAGGATTTCACCACTGATTAGTTCCTTTTTCAATTCAGTAGAAAAACAAGCAAAGGATATGAATAAGCAATTCCCAAGTGGACAATAAACATATGAAAAGACATTCAATCTTACCACTAATCTAAGAAATAGAAATGCATAATAATAAGAAATTAATTTGGAGATGTTTATTAAAATGTGAATAGTGATTATCTCAGTGTATTTTGAGTTATTTTAAATTTCTTATTTGGATTTCAATGTACTGACTTTTTTCAACCTATATTATTTTCAGAAAAGATAAAGTTATTAAAAAACTGCCTCAGTTATTTGCAGATAAATTATGGACAATGCATCAGAAATCAGAACTCAGAAACAGAATCAAACAATTTAGTTAATACAGTAAAGGTGGTATTTCAAATAAGTGTGAGACAGAAAGATTATCAAATAAGTGGTACTAAGAAAATTAACTAGCTAATAAAAATACATTAAAAAAGTCTCAATCCCTAACTCATTGCTAACTCCAAAATACTAATTATTGTTGGTACAAAGTTTAACATGTATATGAAACCATTAAGGTACTATAAAATATAAGTGCATTCATTACCAAAATACATCCATCATTTTAAAGGAAAATAATAATCTGTAGAACAATATTTACAGCATAACTTCATTGATTTAAATCATTGTTTCCATAGTATATGTTTTAATTAAAATTATAAAATGAAAGGATATGCACCCAGTAAGTTATATTCAGCATTATATCATCATCCTCTACCACATGTGCCTGGCACATGGCAGGCACAAAAATATATTAGTTGAATGACTAAATAAATGAACTCATGCATTGTTGGTGGGACTGTAAATTGTGATAATTTTTTTCTGGAGAGAAGTTTGGCAATATGTATCAAAGAGTAAAATAAGCATGCAACTTATTCCAGCACTCCCATTTCTAGGAATTCATCATATGACTAATTTTTACAAGTGCATATAGTAGGTATACAGGGGTAACTTTTTTATAACAGGAGAAAATATGAATGTTAGTGGAGAGATGGTTTGGGAAGTAGCTGCCCTACAATAGGAATCTGGTTAAATAAATTAAGGCAAATATTTCCATGGAATATGCATCTATTTAAAAATAAGATGTTGATCATTTACTGTGAAAGTATAGTCACAATTAATTGATAAATGAGCAGATTACAAGAGAATACGATGTCACATAGATAAAACAGCATATATAAACAGGCAGGTGTGAATATGTACAAAGAAAATTCTGGAAGGAAATGCATCAAAATGCTAACAATGGTTAACAAATGATTAAGATTGTGTTTTTATTACCATTGGAATTTTCTATATTGTATTTTTCCTTACAATGCTTATATACTTTGACAACCAGGAATAAACAATAAAAGTAAATTCATTTACAGAATAGAAAATAAAAGTGTTTCCTAACTTTTAAAAAATATGACTAAATGACTAAGCACAAATCCTATAATAAAAAGGTAACATAAGGGTTAATCTAACTTTAATATTTTCCTCACTTGAAATGAATAATTCATCATATTTTATATTTTAATTTGCTACTTGTATTCTATGAGCAGGTTTAGAAAGTGAATGTGATTAATTAGGTTATTTTCTACATTAGCATTCCAAATCACCTCTGTGGAGTTTTCCGCTTCCATAGAACTACTAAGATATCTTCCAATTAAGTCTTTAAAAGACTATATCTTGTGAATTTTTATTCAAACACAGATAGGTAATTCTTGTCATTCATAAAAATGGGCTAAATATGTTCCTTACCTTTTAATGAAAAGTAAACACTGGTCTTTTTGGTTGTACCAAGGGAGTTGTTCTGTTGCAGAAAAGAATCCTGTAAATAAAAATAACAGATACCTGTTTTTAAACTTCATTTTGCAAAAGTTTATTCATATATTACTGGACTTGTAAATCATACTTTAGTATGGCTAGAATTTTACAGTGTTAGAAGGAAACTGGTGGAAGATGACAATGTAAAGAACACCCTGACAGAGGATGCAGTTTCATCAGCACAGATTCCCCCTCCCGTCCTGCTATTCGTGGAATTGAAAACTGCTGCACGAAAGTATAGAACAAATCGTCTGCTTTTAAATAATACTACTTAACATTTGAATGCCCTTTTATTTTATCTATAAGGTTGTTACAATCATTGAGAAGGACTACGTGGCAAATCAGCAGCAAGGATGGGGTCTCTTATATGCCAGCTTAAAAAGAGAAATATAGTAAAAATGGTGTAACTGACTCACGGCAACATGGGTTCGCAAACCTTGTAGATGGATATAAACCAGGCTTGCCAAACATCACAGACAGCACTTATTAAAACTGCTACGTGGAATGCAATATGCCTGCTTTCTAGCCCCTCCCCCCCTCACCAATAAACGACTCCCCCTTTTTCCCCCAGTGTAAAAATACATGCTCATAGAACAATTAGATAAAAGAAAAAGAATTTTAAAAATCATCAATAATCACACTACCCAATGATGCCACTTGGAGCATTTTCACCCAATTTTTTAAAAAACAGATTTTTGTTACGAGGCCCCTGACAAACCAAGCGGGAATTAAGGATGAGCGAATGGGAGAAGAATATTCCTCTTCCCTTGTTAGGAATCATGACTAGTATTTTTACCTCATATCTAAGCTTTTTTTTTTTTGTAATTATAAAACTATAAAGATAGAATTTTGAGGGGGGAAAAAACGTCTTCCAGGGGTGTCTGCCTCAGCAACCAAGGAGCGTCTGGGAAGGAGGGCGGAGCCTGGAGGGGGAGGTGCGTTTGGTCACTCATTGGGCTGAGAGGTTGTCAATCAAGCTTGCCCAGCAAATGAGGTGCGAGCTGAGGGCACACTGGGAACTAAATGAACTGGAGGTCTGACTGCGAGGGGAGGGGGCTCGAGATGTAAGCAGTGAAGAGATCTCGGGGTCTTGCACTGCGCCATTCGGCTGCGGCACGCCTCAGTCCGCTGCAGCTGTAGCTGAGAGAGGCCTTGCCTTCGCCGCTCTCGTCCAGGTCTCCGCTGCTGCTGCCACCTCCGTTGCGATCTCCTCGGCCCAGCCGCGCCCCGCCCCGCGCTCCTGCTGCCTTTACCGCTGCCAACACCTCAGCCAGAGCCTCCGCCGCCGCCACCCAAGCATCCGTGAGTCATTTTCTGCCCATCTGTGGGCGCGCGGTAGTCACCACCCTAAGAGGTGTGCAGGCTTGCAAAATGGCAGAAGCGGATCCTAACAGGGTCTTGGAACCTGCCGCCCAGGGGGTGGATGAAGAGATGGTGGCTAGCTCGTCTAGCGATTCTGGGGAAGAATCTGACAGCAGCAGCTCTAGCAGCAGCACTAGTTGCAGCAGCAGCAGCAGTAGTAGTGGCAGCAGCAGCAGCAGCAGTAGCTGCAGCCGCTTCTATAGAAAGAAGAGGGTACCTGGGCCTTCCAGAAGTGCGCGGCGTGCTCCGTCGGGTAGAAGTTTCGTGGATCAGCTGCCTCGGGCAGTTAGAAATCGTGTGCAGGCGCTCAGAAATATTCAAGATGAATGTGACAAGGTAGACGCCCTGTTCTTAAAGGCAATTCACGATCTCGAACGAAAATATGCCGAACTCAATAGGCCTCTGTATGATCGGCGATTTCGAATCATCAATGCAGAATATGAGCCTACGGAAGAAGAATGTGAATGGAATTCGGAGGATGAGGTGTTCAGCAGTGATGAGGAGGTGCAGGAAGAAGGCCCTAGTGAGATGCCTGCCTTAGAGGGTGAGGAAGAAGAGGATGACCCGAAAACAAAACCTGAGGTCAAGGCTGAAGAAAATGCAGCTCCGAAAGAAAATCCCGAGGCAAAGGCTGAAGAAGAAGAAGAGTCTAAAGATGCTCTGGAGGCCAAGACTGAAGTAAAAGAAGATCCGAAAGAATCCCCCCAGGCAAAGGCAGAAGATAAAGAGCAGCCTAAAGTAACAGAGGCTAAGGCAAGGGCTCCAGGAAAAGAGGCTCCTAAAAGAGTTCCTGAGGTCAGGCCTAAGGAAAGAGCTCTTAAAAGAGCTCGCAAGGGAAAGCCTAAAAGAGAAGATCCTAAAGGCATTCCCGACTATTGGCTGACTGTCTTAAAGAATGTTGACAAGCTGGGGCCCATGATTCAGAAGTATGATGAGCCCATTCTGAAGTTCCTGTCCGATGTTAGCCTGAAGTTCTCAAAACCTGGCCGGCCTATAAGTTACACATTTGAATTTTGCTTTCTACCCAATCCATACTTCAAAAATGAGGTGCTGACCAAGACATATATAATAAAGTCAAAGCCAGATCACAACGATCCCTTCTTCTCTTGGGGCTGGGAAATCCAAGATTGCAAAGGCTGTAAGATAGATTGGAGAAGAGCAAAGGATGTTACAGTGACAACCACCCGGAGTCGCACAACTGCTACTGGAGAAGTTGAAACCCAGCCAAGAGTGGTTCCTAATGCATCATTCTTCAATTTCTTTAGCCCTCCTGAGATTCCTACAATTGGAAAGCTTGAACCACGAGAAGATGCTATCCTTGATGAGGACTTTGAAATTGGTCAAATTTTACATGATAATGTCATCCTGAAATCAATCTATTACTATACAGGAGAAGTCAATGGTACCTATGATGTTGGTAAAGATTGTAGAAACAGGAAATATCGAAAATAAAAAAAAGGCTGCATGAAAGAATTTTCAAGAATCTCAAATTTCAAGCAGAAGTGAAGTAGGTTTATATAGTCTTGGGGGAAAAAAAAAAAAAAACCTGCCCTGTAACCTCAGCACTAGTATTCCTAACAGTCTTGAGTTTTCGTACTTTCCTGGTAGCCTAAAATATTGTCTTAAAGTGTCTAAGTATCAGTTTATTCTATCTAGCCTGTTGTAGTGTAATATTCTTCAAAATATGTAAACTGTTGTCAATTATCTAAAGCATGTTAGTTTGGTGCTACAAAGTTTTGATTTTTGTGAAGTCCTTTTGTCATATTCCTATTAGAATGTAGCTGTGAAAACTGTCAGAATTGTTTAACTGAGACAAATATTTGCTTGAAAAAAAAAGTTCCTGAAGCATCAATGCAAATATTTTTTTTTCTTTTTCCAGCCCAGAAGACTAAGGGTTTAAATCTGCTTGTACTAGCTGTGCCTTCATTACTTTGCTATAGAAATACAGTATTATACTAACTAAAACAGTGCATTGTGAAATTTGACCCCTTGAAAAAAATTAGCATACATTTAATAATGTCCATCAAGACCATATATGATATGACTGTGAGCTTGTTAATGTGCCATAGTGGTTTATAAATTTAAGCATAATGAAGTTATTGTTTACCACTGAGGTGTTAATATAACATAGCATTTTTAAAAAGTTTGCTCATCTTATCCTGTGTAACTGTAAACTAAAGGTACTAACCACATTTTCTTTGTAATATGTTCTACTTTGCCTTTCACTGGAAATGATCACTTTACATCATTGGTATTTTTTTCATGTTCTTCTATTACAATCTAAAATAAATAAATGTCAAAATGTATCGTGCTATAAAAATCTACCATTTTTGCCTCATTATAAAAAATATGGTGCTTATTATAGAAAAAGTAGAGAATCCTTAGGAAAAGGAACATTTAAAAATATATAATTATCAATATAATTAACATTCTGATACATTTCACAGATCTTAGCTCTTTTTGGTGGGTACACATCCCAGTGATTGGAGAGAAATGGGACAGGGGAGAAGGACTAAGATAGGGGAGAGAGGAAGAGAAGAGGAGGAAGGAATGGGGAGGAGTGTTGAAGTAGAGAAAGTGGGGAGGGAGAAGGGAGAGGGAGGGTACCAGAGTGAGGAGGGGGGTGGAAGGAGAAGAGGGTGGGAGGGAGGAGGAAAGGAAAGGGGAGAGAAGGAAGGGAGGGGGAGGAGGGAAGGGAGGAGGGTCGGGAGTGGAAAGGATGGGAGGAGGTAGGGATGGAGAAGAGGGGAGATAGGCAGGAGTGCCTCACCCAGAAAGGACATCCATATTAGTTGTTGTCTTCACTTCCAGGAGTAGGTTGGGTTGATGACCCAGGCCCACCTTCCACCGTGACTTGGGAAGAGGTCTCATTCCCCTATGTGGTTTATTTTTCCTTATAGGTGACATTATGCTTTCACCAATTCTGCACCATGTGGTTGGTTACAGAGTAATTTGATCCAGAGATTTTGGTTTGAATTTATTGTGAGGAGGAAGCCCCTTAAACTCACTTTACCAAAGAGCTTTGTACTGGGCACAAAGTCACAAGCACAACAAATAATATCCTATTTCACATCTGCCATTTCCCCAACTGCATATACTTTCCTCCAGGACCTTAACAGGAAAGAGCTGTGGCAAGAGGAAGACAGGATTGGGGAATTTCTGGGTCACTAGGCATAAAATTACCTACTAGTCTTCCCAGATCCCACCATATATATAGTTTAGTATCTTGCATTTATCCCTGCTTAACAATAGTCACCCCCATGTCTATAAATGTCAAAATATTCCAACCTATGAGATAGATATTTAACCAATCATGCATGTTTGGATATTTAGGTTACAATTTATACAAAATCAGGAAGTAAATTATTGCTTTTAGCAATAGCAGTCATATTCTGAGAGTCACTTTTTTGTAGTTCTGAGATTTTTGCAACCATCAAGGAGGGGTGTGGTAGCAGATTTACTTATAAGTCTGTGCCGAATCAAAGACTATAGTAAATAGCATGTACCTGGCTCACTGATGCAGAGGTTCTCAAATGGAATATATACTGTGCTTGCCAGACATCACAGACAGTAGAGCCCTTAAAACTTCTACGTGGAATGCAACATCCTTATTGCATCTTAGAACACTTGCCGAAGTAGTTAGCCCCTTCCTGCTCTGTATTTTCCAATGTTAAAGGAACGTATGTCATTATAGAATATTTGCAAAATAGAAGGAGAAGTGCAGATAATAACAATCAGTCAGAAGCATACTACAGGAAGATATGCCCTGTATATATAATAGATTGGTGTATTTTCTCCCAGTCCATCACTTTGATTAGGTTTTATCACAAGTTCTTGTCTCAAATCAAGTTGAGTGGGTGTAAGAAGCTAATTCGAAAGACAACTTATTTATTTTTTTAACATCTTTATTGGAGTATAATTGCTTTACAATGGTGAGTTAGTTTCTGCTGTATAACAAAGTGAATCAGCTATACACATATATCCCCATATCTCCTCCCTCTTGCGTCTCCCTCCCACCCTCCCTATCCCACCCCTCTAGGTGGTCACAAAGCACCGAGCTGATCTCCCTGTGCTATGCAGCTGCTTCCCCCTAGCTATCTATTTTACATTTGGTAGTGTGTACATTACAATGCCACTCCCTCACTTCGTCCCAGTTTACCTGTATTGGTATTTTTGCCTTTTCAGGTTAAGTCTGGCGGGGGTAGGGGTGGGGAACGGGCAGGTGTCACGGATTTTTGAATCAGTAAAAGCTAGGATTCCGGAAATGCAAACGGTGGGTGGTGGGTGCTTCAGCCACCTAGTCTAAGTCAAAGGTGAAAAGAGCCGGGAAACCCGATGGGCTTGCACGTTCGTTGGGCTGCAGGTTTGTCCATCACACTCGCTCAGCCAATGAATGATGCCAGAAAGAAGAGCTGGGTGGGAGCGAAGCTCCTGGGCTGGGTGCATGGGCGTGAGAAGAGTTTTACAGGGTCTTCCTCGGTGCCTTCTAATCGGCGAGCTGTTTCCTTTGGCTGTGATTCAAGGCTGAGGTCAGCCGTTCCCTTCACTGACCCGAGCCCGACCGAAGAGGTCGTCACCTCCTCCGCGCTGCAGTCGTCCCCGCCTTCTCCTTTGTGAATTTTTGCCATCCTGAATTGGGGCACTGAGCGTCCAGGGTCTTCACTCTAAAAGTTTGTTCTTTTCCTGTAAGGTGGCAAACTCAGGTAAGAAGGGGTTTTCCTAAGCAACAGCAGAGACTGCTGAAGAGGTCAGGAAAGAAACTTGAGCTAAGTGAAGAAAGGGACCACACGGATAGTCAAATGATGCCAATGCCCCATTCTGACGGGGTCTAACGATACAGGTGTCCTTGCCCTCAAAAGGCTTCAGGGGTCAAGTGATAAGATAGAAGCTGAATTTGAAAAGGAATTGCACGCTCTTGTAAAAAGGATAAATCCTCACTTGATTAGATGTTCGTGCCCACCAGCGTAAGCATTAGGACAACCTGCAGTATAATAACTTCAACACACTTACGCATTACTTCAAATTTTATGTTTTGTGTTTTTTGTGGAGTATATCTTTTAAATTTAAAAATGAAATATTTAAGTATTAAAACTCATGGCATTTAGAAATATACTTCTTTTCAAGAGATCTGGAATACAACACATTCTCTAAAGCCTCTGTGTAGTTTAGTCCTTATGATGTCCTTTTATCATATAGCTTTTAGAGAGTAACTGGTAAAATTATCAGAACTCTTCACTGAAGCTAATATTTACTTGGGAAAAAAGTACTTTAAAGAGCCAATTCACGTGTGTGTTTTGCCTCACCTCAGAGGTAGGAAGGGTTTAAACCAACCTGGACCAGGTGTACCTTATTGCTGTGCTATAAATTATTTATTATGCTATGGTACATTACAAAATTTTATCATTTGCATAAAGTAGCATAGAGTTAAGAATTTTTAATAACATTAATATCAAGTCTCCTAGATTACTTATGTTTTTGAATTTTGCGTGACAGAGGGATTTATAAAAACATAATGGAGCTGTTATTTCCTTCTGTGTTGCTAATAGACATTAGTGTTTGCAAGTGGTCTTCTCAACTTTTACTCATAAGTTATGTAAACTAAGGGGATTAAGTATATTTTCTTTGCAGTATGTGTCACTGAAAGTTATCACTTTATTATTTTATTACATCTTTTGATTATAAAATATGTTCATTATAGAAAATTTGGAAAATATACTGAAAAGTATAAAAATTATTTTAAACAATTCTGCCTTCAAAGATAACCACATTTCGTATGAAAAGAAAATGTCTATATCTATCTTTATTAACATAACTACTATTCTACTCCTTTCACTTTTCACTTAATATATTTTGGAACCCTTTCTATATCAGTGCATGTAAACTTCATTCTGTTTAACATAATATACCATAATGTATTTCATCAGTTTCTTATGGGCATTTAGGTTAGGAGCATCTTTTTCCAACTGATTGGTAATTGTAACCACCGTCTATGAATTAAGGAAAAATGTTGCATATAGTGAAATATTTTACCTTTGGATTTTGTTCAGTTGTTTTTTCTTTATTTCCTGTAGAAGTGTTTTAATGTTAATAAAGTCACATTTATCTTTTTTTCCCCATTACAGATTTTGGGTATTTAGTTTAGAAAGAGCTTTCCACACCAAGATCTTTTTTTTTTTTTTGGAATTGCTCATATTTTCTTAGAGTACTCTTATAGTTTCATTTAAAGTTTTAATCTTTCTGGAATAAGTTTTATGTAAGGATTGAGGTAGCTATACCACTTTTTTTCTCTCAATACAACTAATCAATTATTTTGACACCATTTATTGAATATTGAATATCCAATGTAATTAATTGCTGCCTTTATTATATAATCCATTCCCTTATGTGTTTGGGCCTATTTCTGGACTGTTCTGTTCAGAAGTGTTATTCTTGTGCCAGTATAAATCTTCTAAAACAGAAATTTCTCATATATATTTTATTATCTGATAAGAAAAGTTCCTTATAAAACTTGTTTTTAAGATTTTTGGGGGGCATATTTTCACCTATTCATTTTCCCAGATGAACTGCAGTACCACTCTTTTTCAGTCTCCCTCCCTAAAGCCTATGGATATTTTGATTAGGGTTTGTTTGATTTTATAGATTCATTTACAGAGAATCAGGAATTTCGTATTATTCAGTCTTCTTATCCAAGGACAAGCTGTGTCTTTCCATTTAATCAAGTATTTTTAATATTTTTCAGTAGAATTGTAAAGTTTACCTATTAAAATAGGCTTTTTAAAAATATTCAGAACCTGTTCTTCAGTTTCTTCTTCCTTTGTCTACCTTTTGCTTATGCTGTTCTGCTGCTTATTTTTAAATCATCTGTGCTTAGGTGTTGTCCCTTTTTTTCCAGCTTTGAATGGGGGCAACTGTTTGCTGAAGTGTGATGTGTGAAGAGGTAGGAGGAAATGAGCTTGAGCATCTCAGAAGCTTCAATTCAGGTTTGTCTCATATCATTGTTTCCGAATTGCTATATTTTCTGCTGGAGACCATTTTGGTCTTCAGTTTAGGCTATTCTCTCCTTTCTCAGCCCTCACGAGCACCAGCTTTGGATTGAGCAGGTCAGCATGACTCAGTGAAATGCCTTGAGTTAGAGGTATTCTGTGGCAGTCTTGTAGTTAATTTCTGCTCAATGGACTGGCCAACATCTGTAGAGTTACTTGTTGCTTGTCTCTCTCCTCATACTGAAGCAGTTTCTAAAGGTTCTCAGAAAATGAAGATGATGTGCTGGTATAATTTCTCCTTAACTCCAGCTCCCCTTTTGTTCTGTGTTATGGAGCTGTTTCCATAAGGGGTCATTTCTTGCTGCTTTCGACGTCTGATGTCTGCCACAGTTCTAAGTCAGATGTTCAGAGCTTGAACACTTAAGGGAACAGCAAGCATTAGCTCAGAGTCCTGCTTTTTTTGTTTGTTTGTTTGTTCAAATTTCATTGTAAGTGGAAGAAATTATTTCCAATGTGTGGCTTGGGATTGTGGCTATTTCTTTGACTTGAAGATTATTTCTGCCTTTAATTTTTATTCTGATAATTCTGGTACATGGGCAGGATTGAAAATCACAGAGCAATGTAGAGAGGAATCTCCAAGAGGGGAGGGGCTGTGTCGTGTGCTCTGAATGTATTGACCTCAGAAAAACTCTTTCTGCGGCACAGCTATTAACAATTCTCCTAATTTATAGTGTTCCTGAAATACCAGTTTAGTGAATTTGGCCTTGGTCAAATAGGGAAATTAGCCCGACTTTGTCTATTGGTGAAAGCATCCTTAATCAACATGTACAAAAAATTTATTTTGAGATAAAGTGGCAAAAATAGTACAGAAAGTTGCAAAAATAGTACAGAAAGGTCCTGTGTACCCTCCATCCAGCTGCCCCTAATGTTAACACCTTACATGACTATAGTACAATACCCAAGCCAGGAAATTAACATTGATATAATCTACAGACATCATTCAGGTTTTGCTAGATTTTACATGCATTCCTGTGTGTGTGTGTGTGTGTGTGTGTGTGTGTAGTTCTATGTCGTTTTATCACATATATAGATTCATGGAACTACCACTAAAGTCAAGATTCAAAACTGTTTCTTCTGTCCCTAAATTTGGACAACTGTTAATTTGTTCTCAAACTTGAAATGAAAAAATTATACAGATTGCTTTATAAATGGATTTATATAGCATGTAACCTTTTGAGAATGACCTGTTTTCACTCATCAAAATAACCTTACGATCCATCCAAGTTGTACCTGTATCAGTAGGTTGTTCTTTTTATTGCCGAGTAGTATTCCAGTGTATTAGTCACTGATCTATGACTCTTGTATAGAAGAGTAAAAACAGGTGGAAAGGAAACAGGACTGCCAGTGGCCAGAATCTCCCATAGGGACAGAAGGTCCTTCTTCCTAAAATCTGAAAGTGAAATAGTATCAATAGAAAATGCTTTTGCAATGCTTACTATGCACTAGGACTATACAAATTATTATTCATGTAGTCCTTACTACTGTATTATTAATTAGGTACAATTATTATCTCTATTTAACAAATGGTGAGACTGAGGTACAGAGAGGTTAAGTAACTTGTCCAAGCTCACACACCAGTAAGTGACAAAGCCAGGCTTTATAGTTGGCAATCTGGCTCTAGTCCATGTGCTTAACTGCTCTATTATTCCACCTTTCTACCATGCTATACCACCTAGAGAAGCACTGTCTTTGTCCATACTCAAGACTAGATAAGGCCCAAGGGAAGCAGCGGAGAAGAAATAAGTACAACCTGGAAGAAAAGCAGATGCCTATCTACAGAGGAAAACTAAGACTTTCCACTTACCTAGCAGTGGTGCCCCTGAATCCACTTTGTAGCTCATGTCTGAGAAACCTTATCAAACTTTATAGCTTAGTGAGACCACTGGGTAAGGTTGAGCCCCTAGGTCATATCCATCATACACAGAGGTATCATGAGAACTGGCTTAGTAAATTTCTATTTCAATTAGATATAGGGCAATCCATTACTATTAAAGATTTCTTTTACCTTTCCAACTTCTTATATTTTTATCATTCCCTGTTTTCCTGTAGTTAGCAGCAATAAAGAGCCTTTAAATCAATAGGTGTAACAAGGGAAAAGAAGATGAAAAAGTGGTTTACTCCTAAGCATCCTTGAGCAGAACCCAGAGGAACATTTACAGGAATCGGGCAATATAGAGGATGAAAGCACGGATTTGAAGTCTAATAGTCTTGGTATTGACTCCCACTTCTGTCACTTATTGGCTGTGTGACCTTATGCATGTTGCTTTGCCCCTCTAATCCTCATTTTTCCTATCTCTAAAATGGGGCTGTTACCTGGCTACTTGATAGAATTATTGTAAGACGTAAATGAGATATTATTTATCAAGCACTTAGCAGAGTGTTTGGCATGCAGTGATAATTCAAATAATAATTTATTGATATAATTAGGATAACTGAGTTTTACTTGGTAATTCCAGGTAAAGTATCATGATACTAAAGATGTTGAAGTTGGTATTAACTCATCCAGGTTTGTTTGTCTTCAAGCAAGAAAATCCTCTTTCCTTCATGGATTTCATGTAACTGCTCCTGTTCTTTCTTGGATTTTCCTTCCCTAAATCAATAGCTCTGAACTGATTCCTGGTAAACACCTACCTGCCTGCATCCTCCCTATATCTTCAGTCTTTGAAGGTCAATTTGAATTTTTATCCATTCCTTCAAGGAGTCAGTACTCTACCAGTTTGTTGCCTGACCAAAAGTCTATGACATAAACTCTTTTCTTTAGTAATGCTGAATATAACTGGACCATTTCCAGACCCCAGACATACAAAATAGTTTGTAAGATAGTGATTTACACACTATTTCCAGTGTGGAATGCTTTCCTCACAACCTCCTCTAGTTTTGGCCAGGGTATTAACTGGGGACATACAAGTCAGATCAGTGGGGTTTTTTTGCCATGGTTTTTAACAATGTTCTTTTGGTCAGGAAATTCATTTATAAGAATTGCTTGCAGAAGTTTAAGAGAACACAAGAGGTGAAAGGCAATGAATGGCATAGCAGATGGCATCTACTTAAAACATTTGCACTGCACCCCATAGGAAATGAAATTTGAAGAAAGTGAAAATCTTTCTTGTAATATTTACCTTAAACTGTCACCACTATTTACAACTTCAGGTAAAATATCCCAGTGTTAGAGCTGCTGAAATTGGTATTAACTCGCACCAGCTTGTCTTGCTTTAAGGGAAAATGTCCCTTTAAATACAATAAAAATAAGGATTATGGGAGTAAGATGCATTACTTACAATTATTTAGGTGTAATTCAAGTTTTAACAGAGTTTGTCAGTCTCTGGATTGAAAGACAAGTAAAAAATAATGCACCAGAACAAATAAATAACTTAAAAATTTTTCATTATTTTTGGGTAGGTTCAGGGTGCTAGGAAAACATTTTAACAAGTGTAATATACTTTTAAATATTGGAAAAGTTGGATTTTCACAACATAATAACTGTGTCAGCAGGTTGCCAATTAATTGTTGGAAATTCTTTTGCATGAAGACGACATCTGCAGTTAATTATGCTGAAGGGCTAGAGAAAGAATGTAGTTATTTAAAAAAAATTTGTATAGATGATGAGGCTTTACAGAAGTGAATCCTGACTTTTTCCAATTGAATCTATACTAAATGAACAATCTCTAAGCAGCACGAGGGAAAGTATCAGGAAATTTCTCTAGCTTAGGAATATCCCTGGTTGATTTTCTGAACAACTGTTTTGGAAATAAGTTAGATCTTTTCAGATGTTATATTTAGGTTTGTTTAGCTTGTGTTATTAAATATTCCCACTAGTATAATTATTAGTGATTTCATGAGGAAGCAAAAGCTCACAAATTGTATTGGCATACCTCAACTACCATAATATTTATATGTGAAAAGAATATTGTTTCATTTCACATAGAAACACTGATTTCATATTAAATATGGCTTAAATCTCTGTATTATCCTAATATTATCATCTTCTTTAGTAAACACAGCGTTTGTGTATAGTAAAGTGCAGTTGAGTCAAAGTTTTGTTACTCAGGGCAGATTAGCAAATTTTCACCCACCAAAAAAGTATTAAGTGATTTAAAGAAATACTAGAATTTGTTGATGTTTAAGATCCTTTCTTGGCCTCTCTTCTTTATCCAGCAACCTGATTTGTGATAATTTTCCTAAGGGTACCTTGTACCTAAGGAAAGGTAAGAGAGAGAATATTAGGTGACATTTGTCATCCAATTTTAGGATCTGTCTTGATGGTTCCTATTTAAAACCATACTAACACCATTTATAAGACAACGTATAAAAGGAGTGACAAACTTAGGAAAAAACTATTTGTAAAGGAAATGAATAAGCAATTCAGAAAAATACTTTTATATGTATATTAGTATTTTGGCTAATATATAGGAAAAATGCTCGCCTACGCTACTAATAAAAAAGATGAAAATTAAAATAACAAGATACTGCTATTTACCTGTTTTGTTGTCAAAAGTAAAATTTAAAAATTCCCATCATTGTTCTCATAATGTGAAGAAAAGGCCCAACCATGTACTGCAAGTGGAAAGGTATAATGGTACACATTTTTCAGGAGTGTGATTTGGCACACACATTTGGCCTTTAAAATGTGCATACTCTTTGACCTAGCAAATCTTCAAGGAATTTATCTTAAGGAAATAATAGTGAACAAAAACATTTATAAGAGTGTTCATTTCGGTGTTGCTTACAATACTACTGAAATGTTTGAAACACTTTAAATGTCCAGAAAGAGGGGATTCAATTTATAAGCTATTGTTTATTCATACAGCTGAATAATGTAAAGGCATTTAAAGTAATAATGTAGATCTATGCTGACATTGAAACATAGCTAAGATAAACTGTTTAATGAAAAATGTCTCAAAACTATGGAAATGTATGCATATATATGTAAATTATGTGTAGTACACAAAAATATTGATACTGGTTATCTATATGTAATGGAGTTTTAGATAATTTGTATTCATAATTTTTAGTATTCTAAATTTTATATAATGATCAGAATTTACTGTTGTGATCAGAAAAGATAGAGCAGGAGAAACAGGAACATTTTAGAATTTTAGACAATTATATGGAGCTGTAGAGTCAGAAAACAAATAAGGAATTGTGAAGGTGCTATATAGGCACATATTTGTGCTATGCAATACTGGAAACTAACTTTTAAAATAATATATTAAAAGCATATGCACAAGGGTTGTTTCCTTCACAGTGGTCACCTTAAGAGCAAACACTTATTCCAATTATGCTGACACTAACAGAATGTTAAAGATGATCTACTTCCTCATTTCATAGGTGAGAAATCTTGGGCTCATTGCATCTAAATACTATCTAAGGTCACACAACAGCTAGGTAATGGGAGGTTCACAAACCCATGATGCTTTCCCTTTCCATTTTTTGGATAATTAACTATTACTATAAAACCAAGTTTTTCCAAACTCTCTGACCTTCAATGGCTGCTTTTCCCTTTAAATACCCAAATAACCTAGCCTCAGCCTTCCTTCTCTCATGTCACCTAACTAACCTAACCAAGTAACCTAGTCTCTGCCCAGTTTCCTTTCCCAAGTATTTCTAAGAAACGCTAGAGAATGCTTGGTTGTATGTTCCAAAAGTATGTCTGCTGGTCACTTACCAATTCTTTCTTAGGGCAAGTGCTTCAGACTTTTCCACTGGTCAGATTGTGCTGTCTTACAACTGCTTCTCCATGCTGCTGCCTCTTACCCCAATCCACACTACACTAAGAATTAAGACATCACAGTAAAAAGTAAATCCTTAAAACACAGTTCATATCTCACTCTTATGCTTAACAAAACTTTAGTGACGGTTTGGGACTAGCAGAAGAAAATTATCAGACAGAAAAAGGAAATTTTAAAACCAGCCATCAGAGATCCACTGTCTGTGCCTTTGCACAAGGGTCCCTGAATTACAGTCCTCCCTGACACCATACATGTTGCAAGCGCCAACTTTTTTCCCACACTGGGGCCTCTTGACCCCCTCCTTCTTTACAGGTGACTAGTGTTCCCATTGTTCTTGGAGATTTGAGAAAAAAGGAGTATCTTCCTCTCTCCCAGTCAAAGGACTATTGTTTTCCCAATGGGAAAGTTGAAAAACTCATTTCCCTCAGCAGAAACTCCATCCTTGCCACAACTGGTCTAGCCACCATGTTCCAGATAAAATAATTTTAATAGCACATTTCTCAGTCTGGATTCTTTATGTGTATGTGGAGTATGTGAATTTCCTTCTGTGACCCAACAAAGGACTTTTCATTGCAGGGCCTAAACCATCTTTTCAGCTGCTTCTTTTCCTCTCTGTCTATTTCAGTTTGTCTCTCACTTTTTCTAGTGTTCTACTTTCTCCATAACTTCGTCTATCTTCACTCCTCCTTCTCTTCTCTTTTCACATGTTCTCTTGCTTTTGGCTTCCTAGACAGATGATTCAGTCAATTTTGGCTTGGCTGCTCCTTTTCTATCCCATTTTTTATGGTTAATGTATTGAATACTATAATCTGTAAAGATGAATTGGAAGTCTCAGATGGGGGATTCTTTTTACTTCTAAATTGGGTATGATAAATTTACTAATTAATCTGGTTCTAAAAATCTCAGATGAGGAGGTGACTATCCAACAGATATCAACTGTCCTCATAAAGATACAAAATAAACTAACAGTAGAACCCTCAGTGGCAGACAATGCCTGAAAAAATTCAAACATCCCCAGTATAGAAATCAAAATAGAGTATATTTTGATGTTGAACATAGTTCATACCTTCTTTTACATTCTTTACTTTAAGACTTCAAGTTCTCTTGTTAGTAATTGATAGGGTATGTTGTCTATAGTTGCTAAATAAGTGAAACAAGTCTATGACTTTTATTTTAAATTATACTAAAGTAAAAGGAACCCAGCTTTTTTCCTCTCTACTCTCCCTTATTCCACTATACAAGATCACAGAGGAAAAATCAAGAATGTCTTTCCCTCCTCTAACCCTCAGAAGTTACTATTTTCTCTTCTATTCTTTTGAAAATAATAACTTTATTGAGAGATAATTCGCAAACATTACAATTTACTTTTACGATATACAATTTAGTGGGTTTTGATATATTTACAGAGTTGTGTAACTATCACCATAATCAACATTTTTCATCACCACGTAAAGAAATCCTGTACCTACCAGTGGTCACTTCTTATTTCCCCCAGTTCTCCCTTCCTCCAGCCCTAGGCAACCACTAATCTACTACCTGTCTCTATAGGTTTTCCTATTCTGTTCTTCTTTCTGTTTTTATGAATTTACCTATTCTGAATATTTCATTTAAATGGAATAATGTAAAATGTGGCCTTTTGTGACTGGCTTCTTTCATTTACCATAATGTTTTCAAGGTTCATCCATATTGTATCATGTGTCAATATTTCACTCCTTTTAATGGCCAAATAATATTCCATTGTATAGGTATATCACATTTTGTTGTATAATGAGATGACATTTGGGTGTTTCCACTTTTGGCTATTATGAATAATGCTATTATTAACATTTATGTGGACATATGTTTTCATTTCTCTTGGGTATATATCTAGAAGTGGAACTGCTGGGTCACGTGATAACTCTGTTTAACCTTTTGAGGAGTTGCCAGACTGTTTTCAAAAATGAATGCATCATTTTACATTCCTACCAGCAATATATGAGGGATCCATTTCTCTATATCTTTACCAACAATTGTTATTATCTCTCTTCTTGATTCCAGCCATTCTAGAGAGTGTAAAGTTTTTTAATTTTTATTGGAGTATAGTTGATTTACAATGTTGTGTTAGTTTCAGGTGTACAACCAAGTGAATCAGTTATACATATATCTACTCTTTTTTAGTTTATTTTCCCATATAGGCCATTACAGAGTATTGAGTAGAGTTCCCTGTGCTATACAGTAGGTCCTTATTAGTTATCAATTTTATATATAGTAGTGTGTATATGTCAATCCCAATCTCCTAATTTATTCCCCCTCCCTTTCCCCCCCGGTAACCATAAATTTGTTTTCTACATCTGTGACTCTAATATGTTTTTTTTTGCTATACGCAGGCCTCTCACTGTTGTGGCCTCTCCCGTTGCGGAGCACAGGCTCCGGACGCACAGGCTCAGTGGCCATGGCCCACGGGCCCAGCCGCTCCGCGGCATGTGGGATCCTCCCAGACCGGGGCACGAACCCGCGTCCCCTGCATCGGCAGGTGGACTGCCAAACACTGCGCCACCAGGGAAGCCGTCTAATATGGTTTTGATTTGAATATCCTTGATGACTAACGATGTTGAGCCAGATCTAAAAGAAGACATAATTCTTGATTATTAATTGACTTTTAAGAGTGAAGAAGAGGAAAGAGTAAAAGATCTGCTTCCTTTTAATGATAATAAACATCGGTTCCAAAGCCAAATATAGATGGTTTGTATATATCTGCACTGCATTTTTAAAATCCCTGCCTCAGTACTATTTATGTAGCTAATTAAAAGTTGGGCATAAATAAGAGTCTTTACTCAGGACAAATCAAATAACATTCATTTTCTTTTCCTGAACACCATTTGCATTTTTCCTTAAGTTGAAGGATCTACTGCTTGGAAATCTCCTTAGACAGAAGGGAGCTGAATGACATGTCCCTCCTTTTTTCCTCTACTTTCTATACTCCAATTGTGTGCATCAGGTTTTTCTTGCTGCCATAACAAATTACTACAAATATAGCAGCTTAAAATAACACAAAATTATTATCTTATAGTTCTGTAGGTCAGAAGTCCAGTATGGGTTGCATTAGGCTAAAATCAACGTGTCAGTAGTGCTGGGTTCCTTTCTGGAGGGTCTAGGGGAGAATCATTTCCATTCTTTTTCAAATTCTTTCCCCAATTAGGTTGTTACAGAATATTGAGCAGAGTTCCCTGTGCTATATATTAGGTCCTTGTTGGTTATCCATTTTAAATATAGCAGTGTGTACATGTCAGTCCCAAACTCCCTAACTATCCCTCTACCCCGCCCATCCTGGTAACCATAAGTTCATTCTCTAAGTTTATGAGTCTGTTTCTGTTTTGTAAATAAGTTCATTTGTATCATTTTTTTTATGGATTCTGCATATGATATTTCTCTTTCTCTGTCTGAGTTACTTCAGTCAGTGTGACAATCTCTAGGGCCATCCATGTTGCTGCAAATGACCCAATTTCATTCCTTTCTATGGCTGAGTAATATTCCATTGTATATATGTACTGCATCTTCTTTATCCATTCTTCTGTCATTGGGCATATAGATTACTTCCATGTCTTGGCTACTGTAAACAGCACTGCAATGAATATTACGGTGTATGTATTTTTTCGGACCATGTTTTTCTCTGGGTATGTGCCCAGGAGTGGGATTGGGAAGACTCATTCTTGGAAACAATATTTAAGGAGTATTTACCCATGCAACGCTACTGGGTCTGCTGCTCAGGTGATTATTATAAGGAGCTCTGTTGCAGCAGTTCTTTGTGGGGAAATATTTAATGTCAGGGCCTTAATGTCCTGAGCCATTATGTTACTGTTCTATCAGTCCACTGTTTCAATTTTTCTATTTAAAAAAAATTTTTTTTTTGGCTGCACTGCATGGCACGTGGGATCTTAGCTCCCCAACCAGGGATCGAACTTGTGCCCCCTGCAGTGGAAGTGTGGAGTCTTAACCATTGGACCGCCAGGGAAGTCCCTCAATTTCTCTAAACAACCATTTCCTGACTGCCCTAGAAGTGTTGTGTTAGGAGGATTAGTTCTAGCAATCACCACTCTAATGACTTATAACCATTAAGTTAACCTAGTCAGCCCAGTCAAATTGACATACAAAATTAATTTTGTATGTCAACTTGACTAAGTTAAGAGATGCCCAGATATTTGGTCAAAGATTATTCTGGCTGTGTCAGTAAAGATGTTTGGGGATGAGATTCACATTTGAATCTATAGACTGAGTAGAGCAGACTATCCTCTCTTATGTGTGTGGGCCTCATCCAATCAGTTGAAGGCCTGAATAGAACAAAAAGGCTGACCATCCTGCAAGTAAGAGGGAACTCCTGCCTCACTGCCTTGGAGCTGGGACATCAGTTTTTTCCTGCCTTTGAACTAGAACTAAAACATTGGCTCTACCTGGATGTCAAGCCTGCTAGCCTTTGGGCTGGAAATGCACCATCAGCTCTCCAGTTCTCAGGCCTTTGGACTTGGACGGAAACTACACCACTGGCTTTTCTGGGTCTCTAGCTTGCTGACTACAGATCTTGAGACTTGTCAGCCTCTAAATTAAGTCAATTTCTTATACTCAATCTCAATCTCTCTCTCTCTCTCTCTCTGTATATATATAGTTGACCTTGAACAATACAGATTTGACCTGTGTGGGGGTCTACTTATATGTGGATTTTTTTCAGTAGTAAATACTACAGTACTGCACGATCCGATGTTGGCTGAATCTGCAGATGCAAAATCTCCGATACAGAGGGCCAACTACAAGTTATATGTAGAGTTTTGATGGCATGGAGGGTTGGCACCCTGAACTCCCACATTGTTAAAGGGTCAACTGTAAACACACACACACACACACACACACATACACACACACAACTTTCTATTGGTTCTGTTTCTCTGGAGAACCCTGACCAGTACAAGTAGTATCCTCACTTTTCGTCACAGTAACTCTCCTTACCTCCACCTTGGGAACTTTTTTTTCCCCTCTCTTATAACTCTTATGCAACTTTTAACCACCCTTCTGATAGAGGCTAATCTCAGTGAGTCTTGGAGGGCCCACATTCCACACCCTTCTAAGGAAGGCTTTACTAAATATATATATATATATGTTAAGGCTCCAGTCTTTGTACCACTACATAGGGAGTAGCCCTGCACTTACTGTTTATTTTGTGTTTTCCAGACAATTCCAATCTCTTTAACAATTTCTGGCCCCCTCTTGTATCTCCTGGTACCACAGTTGAAAGTCAACTCTAATTTAGCTGGCAGCTTTTCTTGCTGAAAAAGGATAAATAAACCACAAGTTTCATCATTGCCATGTTTTCTTCTCTGGTAGTGCCTCTGCTACACCTATATGTGAGAAGACTGGTTTTGGAGTTCAATAGATGTAAATTCAAGGCCAAGGTGTGTGAGGCAATGTGTGTGGGGATTGTAACTATAATTGTAACTATAATTAGTACTAATGGTATTACTATCCAGTAGGAAAAGGAGATCAATGAAATTCTACCCCTATTCTTTCCAGCTGCTGCCTAGTCTCTAAGATATATTTTCTTAGTCCTGTATATGAAGTGATTCTCCGGAAAACTAGCTCATTTTGTTTCCCTCTACAGAGAACACGCACACAGATTGGCAAGGTTTGGGATGGTTTCAGTAAATGAAGTTAATCTTTTAGAACCTGTGGTGAATCTAGGTTAAAAAAAAAGAATTATTTATGGTGTTAGAAGAAGCAATGATATTGATGATTCCAAAGTAAATGCCTAAAAGACTTTCTACATGAAAATTCTGATCAAATAATGAGGGAACTGTGAATGCACTTTTCCAAAGTAGACAGCTTTATCATTACCTGTTATAAAACAGCCCCCTGTCCTTGAGGAGCTTCTAAGCAAAGAGAAACTTATTAATGATATTTACATTCCAGTTGCTCAAGTAGATCACTGCTTGTATTTTTACAAAAGTCAAAATTCATGCATGGATAAGCTTTAATTTTTTTTCTTTGCATACACAGATGTATACTCTTTGCAAAATGTTAATACCTTTTTTACATTCTTCACTCCAGATTGACCCAGACCTGGGATTCAATTATGTACTGCTTCTCCAGTTATTAGTTATTTTACCTTGGGCAAGGGAATCACTTTTAAAATTAGGGGATATATAGATATGGATCATGTCTCTGTCCATATTCTTTATACTATTTATTCACTTTTGCAATGAAACTGTACATGTATACATAGAGGAAAATAACTTAGATCATTAAATTGAAACTATTGTGGGGCACTTGTTTGGAGGCAGAGAATTTACATTTTGGCAAAAAGACTAGAGTATTCATGAGGAATTAGTAGCTCAAATATTTCTAGACTTTTGGGTTCAAATGTATTTCCAGTTGTTATTTGAAAAAAAAATCAGTTTGACCACAACCGCCCCAAACAATGATTTAGGCCACCCACGTGAAAATACAGAAATGTTGTTATAGGAGATCTTCTGCAGGCAAGTAACATACCTGTTGAACAAAACGTTTTCATGAATATTTCATGAGAGATATGTTCTGTGTCAAAATATATTTTCTACCGTCTACTATCAACTCTGACTAAAGAATGTGGCCAGCAGGTCTTATTTTCTGTGACTCACTAAGAGGGTGGTGGCACTGTGGTTTTTATCTGTGGATTCTTGCCATCCTCAGGTTTGGGCTCTACCATTGCAAATCAAGATGGCTGAATATATTATTCCTGTCTTACTATCCAGTGTGCATCTCTGTGCAGATGTAGCTTAATAATATTAACAACAACATGTCTTCTCTAAATCCTTTAATACTTCCATGATGAGCATATTTCATGGAAGCGTTACATTTTATGGAATATACTGCAGGAAACGAATCTTCTCCTAGAAGCTGGGACTTAGGATCTTTTAAAAAGTCTCTGAAGTACAAATCTGCACAGAAATTTGTGTTCAAGTTGCAGATTTCCAGATTAGAAGCATGTCAGAAAAAACAAGTCCTGTCAAATATCACTTTGCCTTTTTTTCCCCCTTTAACCAGCTCTCTGCAAGTGACAAGCATTTTGTAAAGGGAAAAGTTTGATATTTAGAGAGAAACATTCATGGAGATACTTAGTGTGGAGGGAAAGGGCTTTCAAGGCAGTAATTATTATCCAATTGAGTAAGTTCTGGCTTCTTTCACATGGCAGGGGTCACCAAGTACATTTATGAGAACATACACAGGCATTCTGGCATGGTGTTCTATATCTGTCAATGTCTCTGGAAGTCATAGTATTCTTATAATTTCTCTGTTGTAAACATTTCTTTCAATCTTGTTGACCCTTGGATCTGCACATGCAATTTTTTTAAGAACACTGGATAATGTTTAATAAGACATAAAGGTTCCCTAAATATCAAGAGGAAATAGAGAG